GGTCCTGGGACAGTTTTTTCACAGCTGAGATGATGGAAGGAGTGAGATTGTCTTCGAACTCTCGGAGTTTATGAACCATTTCATCCACTGTTAGTGGTACTATGTCATTCCAGGTCACTGTTGCCAATGAATGGGCATATGATGACGGTGCATTCCGTGTAAGTTTTCGCCACATGGGTCGTGTACATTCAACTTCATCTGGATCTATAGGTGTATCCCCGTTATTCGGCTTGATGTGATAGATCATCTCTACGATGGCCGATTCCCTCAGAGACTTGGATGCCTTTGTCTATAGTAGTCCACTTGGCCGAACGACTCGTAACATCGTCCTTGTACGGAAACCTTTCTTTCACAGCTGCCAAGAGCCTCCTCCAAAGGCTGAGGGACTTTTTCTCTCTTGCAATTGCTTTGTCAATTCCCCCTTCTCTAGCAAGTGATCCCAGCTGCTTGGCTTCTGTACCTTCTAGTTCGTGACCATCGGCCCCATTGTCCCAGCATCGGAGTAACCAGGTGATGATGTGCTCCCCTGGTTGACGGGTAAAATCTTTTCGCATATTCCGCAGCTCGGTTGAGGTCCGAGGTCGAGAAGTTACCTCTTCTTCTTCCTCTTCGTCATGTGAGGATGACTCCTGATCAGATTCTGGACCGGGTGGTGAATTCATTGGTTCTTCATCTCGCTTCACCCTTTTTGCCTCCTTTTTGCTTGTTCTCTTGCGTACAGGGGCAACTGATATTGGTACGAATTGGTCCTCTGGTTTGGCTGCAGTGATTATCACTGTGGTTTGAGTAGCGACTGTACTTGTTGCTGGGGGTGGTGTAGCTACCGTGCTTGGAGCTGGGGTAACCGCGCTGTCTGTTGCAGTTGAAGTTTGAGCAGCTGCTGTACTTGCCACTGGGGTAGCTGCGCAGTTCATTGCAGCCAAAGTTTGAGTAGCGACTGTCACTTCGCCCTCAAATCCGCCGACATTCTTTTCCTTTTGAAGGTGCTGGATAGTCTTGAACAAGGCCCTGTAAGCATAGGCCAAGCCCCAGCACGTTGCCATGATTTGTCCATCTCTGGTATGGCCAGAATGACCACACACCTCATTTAAGTGTTTTACTAATTCTTCTGGATTTTGCAGTTGTTCGGTAGTGAAATTCCAAAATACTGGGGGGGCCCACTGACCTAGATACTTGCCCATACTATCCCACACACCCTGCCACTCATGGCTGTCCAGCCTCTGGGAAAATCTCTCGGTCCTCCTACATCGTCGTTTGACCCCAGACAAGACCCAAACCTGAATCTGCTTAACTCTTGAAATCAGTAGTGGGCAAAACACACTCTGTATGCGTGTTAGCATGGTGATTCCCATCACCATCAGCAAACAAGTCTCAAGAGCATTAAAAGGCCATTTAAAAAATTCGAAACTCTCAAATGTAAATGGTCTGGGGGGACGACTAGGAGGGTAAAAGGATGTCTCCTTCACAGGTTGAGCACCTGAGAAGGAGAAAAAAGATGTGTAATTGCTAAGCACCTCCATCATATACCTCCCAAAGTATAAAGGTGGTGACCACACTGGGAACATAAGCCAGATCAGTTTCATGATCAATGATTCTATTGTATTACAAGTCATTACCATAAAGTACAATGGGATAAAAACCTTAGCCCAAGCCCCACACTTGAAAAACACTAATACAGCCAATACCGGATGGACGTAAGATATGGTATACTGAAACTGTGAGATCAAGAGGAAAAACCTTGAGAGCCAATAAATCAGCATTGTGACGAGTGACTATCAATCCAGTCAGAACTGTTCTTATCTCAACCCCTCGTGCCCCACGTTGGGCGCCAAAAAGAACTGTCGTGGTTTAAACCCAGTTAAGGTAACTTGTTCACTCACTCCCAGTGAGTGGTGCCAAGCTGACAACAATCAAGGCCCGTGTTCGTCTCCCCCCCCCCCCCCCCTGCACCGGGGCTCTCCCCTTCCCCGCTCCCGGAGGAACGGGGAGGAGGATCGAGAGAGTGCAACTCCTACGGGTTGAGACAAGAACAGTCCAGCAACAAATCACCACCGCTACTATCAGCTAAAACAATGAAAAGGGAAAATAACAAGGGAAGAGAATACGATACCACCGGCCAAGAAAACGAGTTCCACCCGGAAGCTCCTGTCCTTCCGGGTAACTCCCAGTTACCCCCCACCCCGGGCATGACGTGCTGTGGTATGGAATACCTCCCCGGCTAGCCCGGGTCAGGCGCCCCGTCTCTGCTTCCTCACAGCTTCCCCTCCTCCCTGGCAGAGCATGAGCCTCACAGAGTCCTTGGTCAGGGTAAACATCACTTAGCAACAACCGACAACATCGGCTTCACCAACGCTGTTCTCAAAACTAGAAGTCAAAACACAGCACTGCACCAGCTAACACAAAGGAAAAAACATGACTGCTACTGCTGAACCCAGGACAGCAGTTTACATGTTTTAAATTATTGTCTTTCTATTAGCTCTTTGTAGTTTGACTTGCATTTTTGTATCCTGACTTATTCCTCCTACACTGCAGCTAGCTAAATGTATTCTTTGATTTTATTAATTGTGTGACAACCCAGACATTGTGATCCTTTCATCCTTTTTTTTTTTTTCTGATTTTAATGTTTATTTTAAAGATACTTTTGATTTTGGTCCCAGCATCTAACATCTGGGATTTTATATGCCTGTTGTTTCTTGACTTCCTATATTATTTCAATTCCCTGTGCAATCATATTTCTCAATATATATTTTATATATATTATATATAATATATATTCTCTATACACTTATTACAAAATCAGATTAAATGAAGAGGGGTGAAAAATCTGATATAATATGCTTCAGACTAAGAATGGAAAAAATATTTTTTTGTCAATGCATAAGAAAAATCCATTGTAAATCTCTATTGCATGCTTTTACAAAGCAGGAGTGGGTGTGTGTAATGATGGCTTGGCTTTGTGAGCGAAGATTTGGGAAGGGGTTTACCCATGCTTACTACAAGCATGATGACTAAGGGCAATGTGGGATAGGCAAATCTGGTTGGAAAAAAGGCTGCTTAGGCATTCAGAATGTTTCCGAACAGGACTGACATCTCCTGGGACAATCTCAAGCGACCAAGGTCCTGAATCTCCCGCATGCAAGGAAGCAGAGACAAGACACCTGACCCAAACTAGCCAAAGGGGTATTCCATACCAATCCCCTGTGCTTAAACCACGACATCGGGGTTGGGGTAGCTGCTGTATTTGGAGTTAGAGTAGCTGCATTGTCTGTTGCTTTGCCCTCAGATCCAGAGACATCTTTTTCACTTTGAAGGTGCTGGATAGTGTTGAACAGGGATCTGTAAGCATAGGCCAAGGCCCAGCATGTTGCCATGATTTGTCCCTCTCTGGTATGACCAGGATGACAACACACCTCATTTAAGTGTTTTACTAATTTTTCTGGATTTTGCACTTGTCCAGTGGTGAAGTTCCAAAGCACTGGAGGTGCCCACTGGCCTAGACACATGCCCATACTATCCCACATACCCTGCCACTCATGACTGTCCAGCCTCGGGGAAAATCTCTTGGTACTCCTATATTGTCGTCTAACCCTAGACAAGACCCAAACCTGACTCTGCTTAACTTTCGAGATCAGACAAAATGGTCATGGGTAAAACACACTCTGTATGTGTGCCAACAGGGTGATCCCCATCACAATCAGCAGGCAGGTCTCAAGGGTACCCAAAGGCCATTCAAGACATTCACAGCTCTCAAATGATGCTGTAAATAGTCTGGTGAGAGAGCTGGGAGTGTAAGGGAATGTCTCCTTCATAGGTTGACCACCTGAGGAGGGGAAAAAAAGATGTGCAATTGCTAAACACTTCTATTATATACCTCCCAAAGTATAGAAATGATGACCACACTGGGAACACAAGCCAGATCAGTTTCATGATCAATGAGTCTATTGTATTACAAGTCATTACCATAAAGTACAGCGAAACAAGAACCTTAGCCCGACCCCCCCAGCCGATAAACACTAAAACAGCAAATACCAGCTGTAAGTAAGGTACGACGTGCTGAAACTCCGAGATCAAGAGCAACAACTTTGAGAGCCAATAAATCAGCATTGTGATGAGTGCCTATTAATCCAAAACAATGAATGCTTATCCCAAATATGATTAGACACACTCTGGTCAGATATGTTGTTATCTCAACCCTTTGTGCCCCACATTGGGTGCCACAAAGAACTGTCATGGTTTAAGCCCAGCAGGTAACTCAGAACCACGCAGCTGCTCACTCACTCCTCCCTCTCCCCCCCCTTCCTACCCCTGCTCCCAGAGGTATGGGTAGGAGAATGGGAAGAATATAACTCCCATGGGTTAAGAACAGTCCAGTAACTAAGGTATAACACAAAACCACTACTCCTACCACCAATAATAATAATGATAAGGGAAATAACAAGAAAAGAGAATACAGTCGCTCACCACCCGACGACTGATAACCAGCCCGACCCTGGCAGTGGACTAGAACTTCTGGGTAACTGCCCCCAGTTTATATACTGGGCATGACAAGCTATGGTATGGAATACCTCTTTGTTTTGTTTGGGTCAGGTGTCCTGTCTCTGCTTCCTCCTGGCTTCCCCTCCTCCCTGGCAGAGCATGAGACTCACAAAGTCCTTGGTCAGAGTAAACATTACTGAGCAGCAACTAAAACCATTGGTTTTTTCAGTGCTGTTCCCAGGCTGAAAGTAAAAACAGCTCTTCAGCAACTACTAAGATTGAGAAAAATGACTCCTACTGCTGAACCCCGGACACCATGATTCATACAGTGCCTCTGAAAACAGCAAAGAAACAAACTTCTTATGAATTTCTTTTGTTGATTTGTTTTTTTCTCTCTGTGCAACTCTGAACCAGACTAGCAAGTACAGTCCATGGGATTATCATTCCAATAGCTGTTCTCTGCCCTGTCACTGTCTTTCTCCCTCCAAATCTAGCCTTCATTGTCCTTTGAAGCTCTTGACTGCTGCCACACCTGCAACACCATAGGCAGATATTACCAATGTCTACTGAATCCAATTATGGCAAACTGAAAAAACACAATGATGAAATTTAGGGCCCAATAAATACCAGCCTAAGAAGAAGCAAAGAATCCAGCAGCAGAATGCATTTATCAACACAGCCATTGCAACCACAAGCTGGGTTAAGGTGATCTGCAGAAAAGACTCCGAAACAAATTTTCAGAGTAGGTATGTTTATTCAGCGCTGGGCAGCATGGGGGCATGCTCCACCACAGGCATGCTGCACCCTTCTGGGGTTACATTGCTCACTTATATTATGCAAGCTAATTACATATTCATAAGATTGCTTCACACCTAATACATATGTAAAAACTATTCCCATCTACTATTATAATTAGTCCTCTGGCATTAGTCCAATCATTGAGCCTGCACAGTGCCTCCTGGTGGTGGTTGCCAAGGGTCATGGGGATGAAGGCCGATGGCTCCTCATTGTCACCGCTAGTTGACCTCACAGTGTTGCGCAGGCTCAGTGGAGTTTGATATTTGTCCAAACCGCAAGTCTGGTACATAAACAGGAACTTATCACCCTTGCGAGATTTATTGCTACATTGTCCTTTTGTTTGCTTCCTTATCTTTGTTAGTATTGCTATATCACACAAATACAGCTGTATCCCTACATTGTCCTTTTGCCCACTTCCTTATCTTTGTTAGTATTGCTACATTACACAAATACAGCTGTATCAAAGGAACTAAAAATGAAGAGTCCTTATGTAAGAGAAAGAAACTTTTGAGCACTCAGATCTGCTCCCATCAGCAAGGGGCCAACTCAAATTTCTATCCCGCAAATCCATGAATCACTTTGAAGAGCATTTTCTGCTCTCTCACATGCCAGGTTGAAATAGGGGAGTTCTAAGATTTAAAACTTGTTGCTTGTTGGGTAATTAGTTCGCATTGTTAATTTAATTAGTGATAACACACCTTAGTCACATTGCTGGTGCAACCTAAGGGTTAACAAAGTGCGGGACTTAACACCTGTGAAAAGTTAGCTACATTTGTAACTTTTGGGATAACATCAGCCAATCCAAGGGGAGACTGAGCCCAAGCAAAAGAAGAGAGAGAACCGGTGCAAGCCAGTTTTGTAGTTTGGACACGATCCAAGGAGTAACTGAGCCTGCGCAGGACCAAAAGATTACTTGCAGTGTGTCATGGTTTAAACCCAGTCAGGCAACTTGTTCATTCACTCCCAGTGAGTGGTGCCAGGCTGACAGCAATCGAGGGTCCCCCTCCCCACCCCCCCCGGGGCTCTCCCCTTCCCTGCTCCCAGAGGAACGGGGAGGAGGATCGAAAGAGTGCAACTCCTATGGGTTGAGACAAGAACAGTCCAGCAACCAATGAACAACACAAATCACCACCGCTACTACCAACGACAACAATGATAAGAGAAAATAACAAGGGAAGAGAATACGATACCACTGGCCAAGAAATGAGTCCCACCCGGAAGCCTGTGTCCTTCCGGGTAACTCCCAGTTACCCCCCACCCCGGGCATGACATGCTGTGGTATGGAATACCTCTTTGGCTAGCCTGGGTCATGCACCCCGTTTCTGCTTCCTCAGCTTCCCCTCCTCCCTGGCAGAGCATGAGCCTCACAAAGTCCTTGGTCAGGGTAAACATCACATAGCAACAACCGAAAACATCGGTTTCACCAACACTGTTCCCAGGCTAGAAGTCAAAACACAGCACTGCACCAGCTACCACGAAGGAGAAACACGACTGCTACTGCTGAACCCAGGACACAGTGACAAAGAGGAACTGCTAGCCTTCATCCCCACGACCCCCTACAACCACTACCAAAAAGCACTGCGCATGTGCAGTGGAGGAGTTTATGGAAATACTAATTATCATACGAAGTGGAGACAGGTTATGAATATGTATAGGAGCTCTCATGAATATGTAACTACAATGCTATATATGTTTGAAGAACAGATGGCTGCAGCGCGCACGACTTTGGTGGGATACCCCTGTGCTGCCCAGCGCTGAATAAACATACCTACTTTACAACTCTAACTGGCTGATTGGTTTTAAAGTCCTTTTTCCGCACATCAATTTGGTGAGCCAGCCAGGAGAACTCTCTGCCTGGCTGTGGGATCAATCGTGGGACAGACACCCCTAGGCACGCCCTGAGCACATTCTTTAGAGAAGCCTCCACTCCCAGCCGCTCACCACGGGGACAGACAAGGACCTCCTGAAGCCACGGATAAATGGTATGTTTTAGGAAAAGGGAAGGGCCTATAAATCGCTGGGGATGCCCACGCTTGGCGGGGGCTGCTGATAATGCGTGCAGCGACGTCTGGCATGCAGCATCACCCCCGCATGGAAGAAAGGGTACCCTGAGGGTTGAGGGGTTTGCTGACCGATAGAGCGGCTGCTAGTGATCTTGAGGGTTGATCAAGCAAATCTGAGGTAATTGCTGCATCTCAGTATTGGAAGCCAGAACAGACCTGCTAATGACTCTATAAGAAGCAGGAGAAGGGTAAGCAGACCTCCCAAAATTATAATACTTTTAATAATCTTGGCGGGTGTTGGAAGGATACTAACTGGAGTGATGATTTATCTGTAAATGCCTGAGTATTTTGTGGTATGTTGTATCATTTCATGTTATTTCGTGCTGTGACATTTTGTGTTATTTCGTGCTATTCTGTATTGTTTCGGGTGTTATTTTGTGTTGAAGTGTTTGCTTGCATGTGTGTCTGATGTGCAGCGCTGCTGTGAAGCAAGGGGGAGAGTCCTAATTGGTAGTTCTGTTTGAAAGGTTGTGGATGTCTTGGCATGAGATAGACTTCAATTATGAACGTCAGGGATTTGACTAATCACCGAACTGGCAGGTCCAAGAGGGTCAACTCCTTCAGTGGTTTGGACTTGAACCCTGGGAATACTTAAATGAAAGAGGAGGCTGGAGTAGATTAGGGGAGAGACATTATTTAAAGGGCATGTATGTGACACCCGCCGGGCAGGCTTTAGATAGTAGCCCTGGATTGGGAACAACCTGTCCCAGATATCCTCCAGAACCCTAGTATTAACGGACACATAGGGGTTATCCTTTGCTTTGTGTGTGGGCTTACTAATAAGAGTGCACGGAGAAAATTGGCATCCGGCACAGGTTCTGTTGAAATGTAAATCTTGCGACAGAAGGTGGCGCTGTTCATCTGAAAAATGGAGACCGGAGCGTCCCAAGTGTTTCCCGGAGCCCCCAAGGTTTTATGACCAGGAAAGGGCCCAACAGGAGGCTAAGATAGTGAAATTTTTATGTGAAAAAAACGAGTCCCAGAGACTCGGGGTATTTGGGAAGAACATTGGAAAGAGATTGTAAGAAAACATATAAAGAAGTTTGAATAAGATTAAAGTAAAACATAACAATTGATAGGAGGCTATTAAAAAACGGGTAATATCCAGGATAAAACTGTTTTAAAGAAAAGTCCTCTTACTTGCATATTGGCACACTGGAAAGATATTGCCGGAGCCGGAAGGACAAAGAATAAGAAAGCCCTCATTAAATATTATAACCAGTGGTGGCCATTATATAAATTTGAGGATGGGGCCAAGTGGCCCCTGCATGGGTCAAGAGATTACAATACCATCCTGCAATTAATGTTGTTTTTAAGGAGAGAGGGAAAATGGGATGAAGTATCATATGCGGATATGTTCTTCACCCTCCGGAATCACCCGGAGTGGCAAAGGGACTGTGGAATAGTGCCGCCACAGGACCCTATGGTACTCACCCTCAAGCGAGAAAATAATAAGGGGCTTAGAGATAAACTGAGGCGGTGTTGCTCAGCATGTAGTATTGGATAACAGTGTACTAGACTAAATAAAACTCACCGAGCATCAGAACAGGATTTAACTAACCTGCTTAAGCCTCCCCCTCGATCACAGGAACCGGATGTAGTCTCGGATGGAACTACCACTCCCCCAGGCAGTCCTGTATCCTCCCGGACGAGGAAACCTCAGCCCTAACAGCTTTGCAGGCTTCCCTCCGAGAGACAGTAGGATCGGATGGCGGAACAATGTTAATTAAGGTGCCTTTTTCAACTACCGATTTAGAAGCCTGGAAAAGAATTGCCAAGGACTACAGGAATGATCCGGTAAGTGTAACCAAACATATTCAATTTATTATAAAACAATACAACCCTGATTGGAATGACATACAGTTATTGCTAGACTATATGACCGAAACGGAGAAACAATTAATTCTAAAAACCGGAGGGGATTTGGCTGAAGACCATTATAAGACCACAGGGGGAGATGTTAAAGGTTATCTCCCCCTTCAAGACCCAAAATGGAATGCAAACAGGTCTGCACATATGGAGAGACTACAGGCATAACAGGGATGGATTGCAAAAGGAATGGAAAGGGCCATTACTAAAACTATGAATTGGTCAGCACTGTATGCAATCAGACAAGGTCCTTCTGAGTCACCATCCGAATTCCTGGATCCATTGAGGGACATAATGAACCATAACACACCGCCAGATCCTGGATCAGAGGTAGGAATACAGCAATTAGTCTCCTTATTTTTGGGCCAATCTACAGGAAATATTAGACGTTGCCCTGGGTTCAGCAGTAGCAGTCATGTTTCTCCTTCTTGGTAGCTGGTGCAGTGCTGTGTTTTGACTTTTGGCCTGGGAACAGAGCTAATAACACTGATGTTTTGGTCTGGCCAAGGACTTTGTGAGCTTTATGCTCCACCAGGGAGAAGGGGAAGCTGGGAGGAAGCAGAGACAGGACACCTGACCCAAACTGACCAAAGAGGTATTCCATACCACAGCACGTCATGCCTAGGGATGTAACTGGGAGTGACCCGGAAGGGCTGGTAGACTGTGGGGTTGGAGGAGGTATCGGTTGGTGCTTGGTTGGGCTGGGGGGGTGAGTTATCGGTCGGCTGGTGGTGAGGTGTTGTATTCTCTTCCTTTGTTATTTCCTTTATCATTATTATTGGTGGTAGCAGTAGTGATTTGTGTTATACCTTAGTTACTAAACTGTTCTTAACCCGTGGGAGTTGCATTCTTTTCGATTCTCCTCTCTGTCCCTCCGGGAGTAGGGGGAGGGAAAGAAGGGGGGGAGTGAGTGAACAAGCTGTCTGGCTGGGTTTAAACCACGACAGATGTAAGCTTCAAAAGTTACATCCTACAGAAAGAAGGAACCTAGTGATATTACTAGACGAGGCATGGAGAGTGTTTAGTAACAGAGAGGAGGATTACAAACGGGGACAGAGAAGGGGGGTAGTGGTAGTCAGAGAAGAGGAAGAGAGAAAATCCAGACAAGGATCACCTCGGTTGAGTAGGGATCAATGTGCATTGTGCAAGAAATTTGGCCACTGGAAAGATAACTGTCCGGAAAGGTGGAAAAATAAAGGAAAGAGGCGGAACAATCAGAAGGGGAGAATTGTGGCCCATATAAAGAGAGATTGACGGGGACCTGGGGAATCTACCCTAGCAGATCCACTGGTTATAACAGAGCTAGGGAAGGAACAAAAAGGGGTAGAGTTTCTAGTGGACGCAGGAGCAACATACTCAGTCTTAAACCAAGCCTTGATGCCCCTGGGGGATGATTATATTATGGTAAAAGGGGCAACTGGCCAAAGTGAAAAGGCGTATTTTTGTAAACCACTGGAGTATAAACTGGAAAAACAGTGGGGCATTCATTGATTTTTATATATGCCCAATTCCCCAAAGTCACTTTTGGGAAGAGACTCATTAGAACAATTGCATGCTATAATTAAATTTGAAAAGGGAGAGATTACTCTGGAGGTAAATGAACAACAATATATCCAAATAATGAGTTTATCCCTAACTATTGTCCCTACAGAAGGAGGAATCAGCGAAGAAGTTATGAAC